ATGATTAGCATGTGCCCTCTTGATGTGATACTCTGGACAAATCACCACTGTTGGGGTCCAGAAAATGATATCCCTAAAACATGGCTCCCTGGTGTACAGATTATTTCATTTCAATTATATTTATTTATTTTGTGTGTATGTACGTGTGTGGGGGGGTACATGTGCCATGGTGCATGTGTGAAGGTCAGGGGATTACTGAAGGGAGTTGGTTCTCTTCCTTCACCATCTTGGAGACTGAATTCAGGTCATAGGGTTTGGTGGTCAGTGCCTTTACCTGCTGAGCTATTTTGCTGGCCCATGAAGATTATTTTAAATTAAGAACCTTTGGAAAATAGCAGGTGATGGAAGGGGCTTTACACTGATAGTTATTTGCTTAAAGACTGGACCTACTAAAAAGGAGATAATTGCCTTTGGTCGCTTCCTTGAGTTTTTATTAACAAATTCATGTCTGCACGAAGATTAGAGAATGAAATCACACCTGGGCAGACTTTTTTTTTTTCAATCTACTGTTAGTTTCATAGACCAATTCAATTCTATAATAGTTTATAAGCTATGCCTGAGCACTGAACCCATTCGTTCAGCTAAAATCATTTATTATCTCTCAAAAAAAAATTTCCAAATTCCCCACCTCTCTTTCCCTTGTTAAGAAAGGTATACAGCCTCCAGCGTTCACTGGCTTATGAAGTAATCATACTCCTGTGATTGTCCCCCAGGCACATGAATACCTCATCTGCTGTCAGTTCATCCCAGTAAATCTTCAGAAGAAAAAACAATCAGGAGAGGCTCTTTAAAACCTCTCTCTAAAAGTCACTGAAAACAAGAGAAGAGCCACCCAAAAGCCTAGCCTGACCCTGTTCTATAAGCAAACATGCTGCAAAGGACATCATCAGGGCAGCTGACACACTGAAAGATGGTGGTATTACACAGAATTTATGACCCTGATCACTCAACTGTGGTTATGGAAGGCACTCGAAGCAGACAGCCACGTTACATTTAACTTGTCCCCAATGGCTCAGGAAGAAAAGCCATTTTATTTTTTGGTGTGGGGGAGAAGAGAACCACATGGATTAAAATGTTAACAATACCTAAGCCTGAATAAACATTATTATTGAAATTTGAAATTTTTTTAAAACTTAAAGTATTTTCTTATTTTTATTTTATGTGTATGAGGGAATTGCCTGCATGTTTGTGAGTGCACCCGTGTTGTGCAATGCCGTGGAGGTCAGGAGAGGGCTTCAGGTTCCCCTGGAACTGGAATTAAGGATGGTTTGTAGCTGCCATGTGTGTGCTGGGAATCGAACCCGGATCCTCTGCAAGAGCAATCAGTGCTCTTAACCGCTGAGCCATCTCCCTAGCCCAAAACTTGAAATTTTTACCTTTAAAACTTTTAAGAGTTTTCTGTTACTTCCAAATAAAACATTATCAAAGAGGGAATGAGGAAGAGATTCATTTACTACTACTCTACCCATGAAAGTTACAAAGAATACAAGGATCCATAAATGCAGAGATATAATTCTTCTTTTTTTCATATTTTATTTCTTGGAAGAAAGTGAGTTGTTAGGTAACAAGAAGAATTAAAAATATTCATGTTTGATTCTAACAAAACTTACCCTAAGGAAATAATTGTGAGTAGAAAGATTTATCTGTATGGACTTTCAAAGTGCCTTTTGATTCTAAATAAAATTATCGATAAGGAAATAACTATGAGAAGTAAGATTTATCTATATGGATTTTTGAAGTACTTTACTTACAAAAGAGAAGTATTTGGAAATCTAAAAACAAAAGACTAATTAATGAATTATGGTTCATGCAAACTGGAATTCAATGTACCCATTCCATAATTATCCCTAAGTGTATCACATAATGACATGGGGATATCACTAAATGAGAAAAGTTTACAAAACAGTACATCAAGTATTCCAGTTATGAAACACTCATTACTCAGTAAAATGGACTAGATGAATATATCAAAATAGAACTATAACCTTTTTGCATATTCCTCTGTTTTCCAAGTTTTACACATGTGCTTTGAAATGAAACAACGATGTTACTTCTAAAAATGCCTCAAAATCCAACAGTCCCCACCACAACTTTCACTCTTCAGTTTATTGCATTTTAGTTTAGACTCTTAAACATAGTTTTCCAAATCTATACACAAAACTAGAACTCTTTTAGTGGTTTAGATAATCAATCATAGGTGCAAAAAGGTTGTTTAAAGCTTGCTTAACAGAGAAACTGATATTCCAAGAACAACTTTTAGTGAAAGAAGGCACTCTGCCTTTGGGCTTCCTTCCCTTCACTACCACTTTCTATCTTCGTCCTCATGAGAACTGGAGGAAATGAAGAAATACAAAGAATGCCTACATCCTTTAAACACTTCACTCCTTTCAACAAACAGTGTTAGTCTTTTCACCTATGATGATTAGACCTTTAAAAAGGTGCTTGATGCTGCTGCCAATCAAAGGAAATAAGATAATATCATTAGATACTTTCCCTCTAATCTGAAGGGTGTCACTTCCTACTATTCCAGTCACTTAAATAAAAATGACCAATCTTAAATTGCTTCCTTGATATTTTCACTTCGTTCTCAAAAAGGCACTTTAACTCCAAAGATCAAAAGCCACTTACCCCATCAATTTCTTACCGATTTTTCCACTTCAACAAGTATACTAAACACAGTATTACTAAGAGGCAATGCCTTATTTAATTTAAAGCAGCCTTTATTCCCGTATTACAATAGAAGTGAGAACAAAAATCTAAGCAATGAGTACACACACACACACACACACACACACATAGCATAGATGTCTTTATTCTGGCATGTGGATGTATGGTAAATATTTATTTGAAAGTAATAAAAGTATATTTCACATCTACATATGGATATATTAGAAGCAACTGCATTTCTTCTTTGAGGTGTATCCTGAAGGTAGGGCCTCACCCATGCTAGGCAAGTACTTTACCCTGAGAATTATTCTCAGCTCTTTTTCTGTTTTTCATTGTGAGACACAGTCTTGCTAAATTGCTCAAGCTGGCCTTGAACTCACTCGAGTCCAGGTAGGTTTTGAACTTGTGATCTTCCTACCTTAGCCTCCTTAGTAGCTAGGATTATAGACCTGCACCACCAGGTCTAGCTACAAATTTCATTTTATAGCCTTTTTAGGTTTCATTATAGTGAGGTCACTCTCAGCTTAGTTGGATGCTAATGCCACTTCCCTATTCCTGGGCCGTGCCCTGTTCACGTCTTAACTTTCTTTCTTTAAAAAGACTTAAGACTTTATTATGTGTATGTGTGGGTATGTGCTCATAAGTGCAGGGGCCCATGGAGGCCAGACGCTTCACTTCCTCCTGGAGCTGGAGTTACATACAGGTGGTTGTCAGTTGCCAGAATTCAGGTCCTTGCAAGAGCAGTATGTGCTCTTAACCACTGAGCCAGCTCTCTAGCCTCCCACCCCTTTTCACTTCTTGAGCTCCAAGAAGCAAACATTGGGCCAGTGACAAGGATCATCAGGTAGAGACAATCATTAACAAGCCTGAGGACCTGGGTTTAATCCCTGGAACCCGTGTGGTGGAATGAAGGAACTAACAAGATGTCCTCTGACTTCTATACAAGTGCCATGGTATGTGTCTGACCAAATGTGCAAACACACACACACACACAAACACACGGAATAATAATAATAATAGAATAAGAAACAAGTGTCGGACAGTAACTGTGGTCTGATGAGGTTACTCTCCCCATGAGACAGTCAGATGGACAAAGCCCTACTGATATTATTAGAGGGGAGAACAAGGATTTTTAAAACAATCTCTGCAGTTGCCATCTTGTTTGTTTTCATGTTTCTTATCTCCAAGAAACTTACTCCTGTGCCTTGAGTAACAGGGGTCTTCTGAGAACTCCCTCTTCTCTCATTCCTTTCCCCAGTCACACAGGCAGCTAAACCATCAGGCTTAATGTACCATTAACTTCTTGTTTTTCTAAAGCAAACCACTTGCTACAAATAATCTACGTATACAGTAATTTGATGAGGCATTTTGGAATTTGTTCCTTCTTATGTTGTTCAATATTTGATTAAACACATTGTTTTTAGGAATAGATGGTCAACACAAACATTTGGTTGCCAAGCATCCTAAATATTTACATTTATGAGGATGATCCTTAGAAAATACAGGAACTGAAAACCAGACCTACCAGATTTTGTATAAAGAAGTAAAACGACTTACTTTTCAAAGATTATGTATTTTTATTATGCATATTACATATTTTATTTCTAGAAATACCATGTTTATATTATAAAGTAGCCTTTCAAATTTCTGAAATAAAATTAATTTTTAAAGAAATATTGTGCTCTGGATATTTTAAATTATTTTTTGTGTATGATGCATGTCTGCATGTGTGTTTATGTGTGAGTAGAGGCTCATTGTGTGTCACGGTGCATGTGTGAAGGTCAGGGGACAACCTTGGGTGTCAGTCCTCATCTCCCACCTTGTTTGAGATCTCTACTGCTGCTTTGCCCCTGCCTATGCCAGGCTAGTTGGCCCACTTGCTTCTGGGGATTCTCCTATCCCTGACTCTCATCGTGCCAAGTGAACATTGGGATTATAGACCCGAGTTACACACCTGAGTTCTAGAAATTCAAACTTGGGACCTCACACTTGTCCAGCAGGTACTTTGTCCACTGAGCCATTTCCCTAGGCCTCAATATTTTACAAGGTCATTTTCTTATCATTTGTTTTCCAACATTTCCTTCTCATGTGTCAGCATTTCAAAAGCATTCTCCTTTGAATTTAAAATTAGAAATTTTAAGAAACAACTTCAGTATTGTGGACAGATAAAGAAATATAGAGGACAAGAGGACAAGAGAAACAGCAGTACACTACTACCCACACTGGATCACTGCCCAAAGAGGACACCCTGGACATCTTTCCAAATTCTTCACTTTGTGACACATCGACAGGGCAACACAATCTTACAAGTTGTTTAGTATTTACCACCTTACATGAGCATTTCTTTGCAGCTGTCCAGCTCTATCACTGTCTTCTGAAGTTTTAATCCAAGCGCCTCTACCTGACACTGTAAATCTGAAATGAGACAGTGAGTTCATCTCATTAGTACACATGAAACGTCCAGTATTTTCTTTTTTTTAATAAATAATTTATTGAGAATTTCATACACACATATAAGGTGATTTGATCAAATCCATGCTCACCCCCTCCCCTCTAACTCCTCCCAAATCTCCCCATCACTTTTTTCTGATAACTTCATGTATTCTTTCTTCTTCTTTGATTGATTTATTTTTATGGGGCTTTTGGCTACTCTAACATTCCCCTCTCTGAAAAGGTAACCCTAAAATCTTTTAAGGATTAGATAAAAACTCCTAAATACTTTCAAAATTTTTGGCCTTTGGAACAGAGCATGTTGCTAAGAGGCCCAAGGACATTTTGACCTTTAGCCAAGAAATTGGCTATTTTTCTTTGGGGTCTTCTTACCCTAACTGCCTAGCCAATTCCTACCTCCTATCCAGGTATTTTCAAAACATAAACAACATTCTTTTAAAGTTCCCCTTCTGCTTCTAAAGCATTACACTGCTGTGTCTTCTCCTTTGCCTGCATGGTCATATGTCATGGCCTACTCAACCCTCTGTATTATAACACTGCATAGAATTAATGGGTCTTCACAGATCTGTTTTGCCAGCCTCTTTCTGCCCTTAACATCATGCTAGTTTCTGAACACCTAATAGGCTAAACTTTACTAATGTTTTCAAAGGAAATGTATGCAGTTGGCACACTCCATGAATTTCTGATCATATGGCTCATTTCTGAAATACTTGGTTGTCCATACTCACTCTTCTGTTCCTGAACCAACACTGAGTCCTCAGGTGGAATTGAAAAGAATGATTTGTGTGCCAGGCTCACAGATGGGAATTTGTTTACTTTGGGTAGAATCTGCAGGGCATGTTAATGACTTTAAAAGTCCAGAGAATACTGCAGGAAATCAGTTTCCACAGTCTTCAACTGGGAATTTAGACAACATTTGAAAAGGATTATTCAGGAAGCTGTGCCTAATGTGTGCAGATGCAGAACTGAAACCCAAGCAGAAAGAGCAAGGGGCCTGGCTTACCTAAGTCCTGCCTCTAGGTTCCCTGTGAGAGCTGTGAACCCTAGTCCCACTGACAGCCTCGTGGTACTTATTCTTCAGGAATCATTTAAGGTAGGAAATGAAATTAGATGGATGAACCCACTGGTTTATATAGAAAAAGTAATTCAAAACACAAGGAATTATAATTAAAAAATTTTTAGTTTATTATTTTTTTTATGTGTATGCGTGTATTGCCTGCATGTAGGTAAGTGCACCTGTGTCGTGCAATGCCCGCGGAGGTCAGAATAGGCTGTCGGATCCCCTGGAACTGGAGTTACGGACAGTTGTTAGCTGCCATGTGGGTGCTGGGATTCGAACCTGGGTCTTCTGCAAGAACAACCAATGTTCTTAACCGCTGAGTCATCTCTCCAGCCCCAGAAATTATCATTTTTATGTACTATCCACCTCAAGAGTTTTAGTAACTTATTTTACAATAAAGCTTAAAATGGATTATGCAGTTGTACAGATGTATCAAACCTTTACACAAATCTTCAATCAGATTCCTTATCTTTTTCTTTTCACAATGATCCAGTTCCCTGAATCAGAAAGCAAACTTATTCTACACAAAAGTTCTTATAAGAATTTTCCAGACATATAAGTCATTGTTTATATAAATGGAGGGTTACTTTCAGATACGTTATTTTAAATTACTTTAACAAGCATACAAAAATTATGTGTCTATCATGTACATGTTTTGAATTATGTATACATTATTGAATGAGTAAGTCAAGCTTATTAATACATGCCTTATACCAATACATTTTTGAGGTGAGAACACTTTAATTTTTCTTCTAAAGATTTTCAAGTATGCAGTACTTTATTATTAACTGTAGCCACTATGCTGTACAATAGAGCTCTTGAACTTAACCACCTAGCTAAATGAAAGGTTTTTATCCTTTGACTAACGATTTACATACATTATTTAACTTTAAATGGCCCATAGGTTCTAATCATCCTAGCACTTTGTCTGGTTCTTTCAATCAGTGAATCAATCAACCAGTCAGCATCAAACTGACCGAAGATGCTTAACTCTGCTAAGGGGATGGCCCCTCAAAGCAGATTCAATTATATACTTACTAACAATATTTTCAGGGTACATTTTTTTCCCATTGCTGTAAGGAAAGAGAAAATAACATGCAGCATATTTTTTAGTAATAACCTTTACAAAATAGAAACCTTATTATGAATGTTCTGTAACGTGTTGTTTTGTTATTAAGCTTGAGTTTGCTCACTGAGCTCTTCACAGAGGCACTGCCAACAGGTTTTGACTCATACTCTGAAGAATGAACAGGGAAAAAGCTGATGTTTGCTGATGGTACTAAGTCCAGGTACTAAGCATGGTGCTTTTTCCTGCATCATTTCATTTTTGGTGACAACTACCAGGACTAAGAGGTAGGCAATTTGTTTTTACAAGTGAAGAGTGAAAGTACCTTACTAAAGTTCACTCAGTGAGTTAAGAAATAATTCTGTGATTCAGACTCAGTTCTGCCTGATTTCTAAGTCCTTCTTGCTCACATTGACTCTTGGACCATAAAAGCTTCAAAGGGAATAGTGTATTTGTCCATTAAAGTGTGGTGAGTATTGCTGTATATCAGTTATTATATCCACAGAATTTTTAAAGAGTTATACTTAAGTAGACATATTATTTTATTAATGAAAGATACTGATACAGATGTGGTATCCTTGTGACTAATTTTGCGAGACCAACATTATACAGCACAACCGTGCTTTCTTACTGAATGTCCTTTGCTGCTTCTGTCAGCCTGTCATCCTAAACTAGATGAAGCATGGATTGAACCCATATGATAAAAAACTCGTACTTGGTATGTAAGTTTTATGTAATTAATTTTCAGTTACCTGAGAATTAGTAGAACAGCAGATGGTAAAAACAGGCACTAATTCAAAACCCACTTGTTAGCATTAAAAAGAATTCTGAGGCTCACATTTGAATAGGTCTGTGCATCATAGTTCTAGAATTTCCCAGGTTCTAAGTAAAATAAACTGTGTTACCACGACCCTCCCCGAGAGGAAAGGCAGCTGTCCTGCTTCCAGCGTTAGTCTCTCTGCTGGTCCACCTACATTTTTTTCTCTCCTTGATTTCAAATAAACATAGATCAGCCTTTAGTTCACAGAGAACAACAAGCAGAGAAGCCACTTCCCCCCAAATTATTTACCACAGGTCTGACAGCAGCTCTGAAAATCGGGAAAGTAAATAAATGTTTTCCTTTAAAAAACAAGAGCCCTTGTAGGCTGTCACAGGAAATAAGCAGAAACAGAAATATAAACAATGCCAACCAAGAAACCTTTTTATTTAAGCAGAACTGATACCACATAGAGTTGAGAAAATACAATTCATTATGAATAACTCACAATGCAAAAAGCACCCTAGTGTGTTACTAAGAGTTGATTTATGGCTGCTTTTCCTTTTTTGGTTATATTTTTTGTAATCAGGAAGTGCTGAGGGCTATTGTTTTTAAAAACACAACAAGGGACACATCTTTGTGTTCTGGATGATGTGTAAGCATCCCACAGGCTTATTAAAGGTTGTGGCAGACTAGCAGTGTCCTTTGTTTTCAGAAGCAGAGTGCCCAGTTCCTGTCCTTAATAAATAAAGGAACACGGGAGGATAGGCAGCAAAGACCAAGCCACCTGCACAAAACAGCTCCTTCAGTTTCTGAGGCGAGGAGTTCTTAAATAAGCGCATTGTTCTGTGCAGTCCTTCTCTATAGTCAAACAAATCCAACTTCAATTTTCTGTCATTCAGCATGACATTGGATTATGAGGCAAAGGCCCTGAATGCCTACAAAAAGAAGGAAGTACTGGCTTTAAACACCATGCAGATGTAGGGTGGAACCCATGGAAACAATCCAAAATTTACAACAGCACATTTTACTATTCTGTGACTGCGTTCTTTGCAGATATTAAATAAGAAGCAAATGATTTTAAATGAACAAAACAAAAAAAGAGAGCTCTTAGCCTCTCTTCATATGAAGCCAGCTGCTTGCTGGATAGCATTACACAGGCACCAGATCTGCAATAATTAGTCATTTAAAAGAATCCTGTTATTCTGAAAGGTTTTGAGAAACTGCACATACTAAAGGTACTCATGGTTAACTATTTTATAGGAAGATGGGAAACTTTAATAGTCACTTGGAGGGCATAATCATAGGCATACTATAACAGGAGAAAATAAATAAAACCTGTATAGAAGAAAATAAATAAAACCTGTAAAGTAGAAAGAGCTTTCAAGCTGAAAAATCTCCCGATAAAGAAAACACCCCAAATTTAAAATTGTGTTTCAAAGTACTATTTGGAGGAAAACACCTCAATGTACAAGCAGTAGAATGGAAGAATAAGGAGGCAGAAGAACTGGCAGCCAGGGACCCTGGGTAAATACGGTTTTAGTCCATAATATTTGACAATTGTCATTTCAGAGTTAAGATGATCTCATTGATGACTCTATATAACAGAAACTATTTGTTTCAACACAAGAAATGAATTTCAAGCAGAAAAAACATGAAGGATGTATACATCTCTCTCTATATATACTTGTATATATATTACTCCTGATATATATATATATATATATAACTTGTAGAGATAACTGAAGTAAAAACAACCCTCAACCTGCCAACACACTGGAACACTTGTGTGCGAGTCCTCAGGCCAGACTGCCTATCACCAATCCTGCCTCTGTTTCCTGGGGCTGTTTGACCTTAGGTACCTCTGTATAGGATTTTTCTCAGCCTTCAGTGATTTCATATGTGTGTGTGGAAGGACAGTGACATGCACATCCTGAACACCAGCTGTTATGGTGGTAGCATTAAGGCCACTCCTTCAATTTTGCTCTCAATTTCTCACCTTAAGGACTTTGTTCTTACACATGAACATGATGTCACCATAAACCATCTCTGTATAAGAAAGAGTAAAATTTGGGGTTTAA